GGGGGACACTGATAGTACCCACTTCTTGTTCGACTCCCTGGGCCGTGGTAGTGGTCACTGAGACACTGTCTGGACTTTGTCAGGGGTGTGAAGCAAGTTTCCCAGAGCCTTTCCGGAGCTGGAGATTCCCTCATCTTTTCCTGTAATTTCTGGTTTATCAGCCCAGAGGATCGGGTTGCCCAGAAAGATAATGGGCCTTAATGAGCACCTGGAAATTCAGGTTGGGGCTCCGCACACTTATTTGTCACTTCTCAAAGGGTGGGGCTTAGCCACCATTAAGACAAGATGCCCCCGAACAGGTTAAGTGCCTTGCATCAAAGTTATTTGCAAAACCATTTTCAATTTTTCAGGCTGCTACCCTTTGCAAGGCCAGTCCTGCTTGTCTCAACTTTCATTACCCAGATTGGGGGGAGCCTGGGTGGCTCAGTCGGTTAAGCGACTGCCTTCGGCTCAGGTCATGATCCTGGAGTCCCGGGATCGAGTCCCACATCGGGCTCCCTGCTCGGCAGGGAGTCTGCTTCTCCCTCTGACCCTCTTCCCTCTCGTGCTCTCTATCTCTCATTCTCTCTCTCTCGAATAAATAAAAATAAAATCATTACCCAGATTGGGGCCAGCTGGGGGAAGGAATTAATCTGGTGTGATAAATAAAGGTATCTCTTGCTCCCTGTTTATGTGACAATCCCCCAAGTACTGGCAAGTCGCCCTATTACTTCTGCTGGGATGGGTTGGGGGGGAGGGTTATTTGAAAAACATCTTGTTTTGCTAGTTTGAGATGGAATCCCTATGTTAGACATAAAAGGCAGTATCTGCCCATCCTTCAAGGACTTTGCATTTCTTTTGTCATTTTTATGATTCCTCTGTTCATTTAGCAAATACTTGGCTTCGGGCAAATACTTGTCTACCCAAATGCACAGAAATAATAATTATCATTTTCTGCTCGCGTTGCTCTTCCACATTCAAAATGTGATCACATTCCCTGTCTTTGTTAATCTTCACAAAAACCCTGAAGAGGTAGGCTCCATCCGTGGCGGTATCCTTCATGTCCCAGTAGGGAAAACCGAGACCCAGAGAGGTTAAGTGTGTTGTTTAAGGCCACTCTGCAGGAACATGGTGGAATCTGGGCTTATTATCTGGCCACAAGACTTGGAGACCAACCCTTTCTTCTTGTCCCTCTTCTGTCCTTTACTACAGCCTTCCCCTGCTCACCCCACCCCCACCCTCACCCCCTAAAGTTTGGGAAGTGAGTTATAAAACCAGCCTAAGAGGTGAGGGTAGGGGTGGAGGCATGGTTTTGATTTTTGTTTTTGCAAACAGGGAGGAGAAAGGGTTGGATAGGTGATTATTTAAAGGACCCAGCTCCCTTCCTTTGAACCCTGTTTGGCTAGATTGCACCTCCCAGTTACTGCAGAAGGTGGCCCCAGATTTCCCTGGATTCTAGCTAGGAGGCAAAACTATCCTTTAAAATAACCAAGGTTCTAATCATGAAACTAAGTAGCTCGGGTTAAGGGCCAGTCCCAGCTCTGCCCTTCACTAGTTATAGGATGTCAGGCAAATTTCTTAAGCTCTTTAATTAAGCCTGAGTCTTCAAAAGGGGATGATCATGGTGCTGTTCACCGTCCCACCTCAGTCACTGGCTTCTCTGGCAAGGGTGGGGCTGTTGGTTTCAGAAACGTTTGCAAGGGTGGCCCCTGGTGGAAGAAACTGAAAACTGCAGCCCAGGTATGGAAGATGGATTTAGGGCTTTGTGGCAGAGACCCAATATTTATGAATGTAGAGGTGTCTAGCCGTGTAAAAATAGATTCAAGAGCAGGAATTTTTATAAAAGATCAATTGGACAAAATAGAAATTCCACTGAAGAAATGAAGGGCAAGTATTTGAAAGGGGTGAAAACAGGCCACCTTGAGAGTTTCCCAGAATAACTTTTGGTGAATCGGCTGTTCCCTCTGCTGGTTGGCTCTTGAGCCAGGCTTCTGCAAGACTTGGCCCCTCAGGTCTCAGCTCCACCACCTCCACCTTGGGAGGCCTGTTCTCACCATCCAGTATGAGCCATACCTTTCTGAATCCCCCTTGCCCCATCACTTTTTTTTTTTTTCTTTTAAGTAGGCTCCATGCCCAGTGTGGAGCCCAAGGTGGGGCTTGAACTCATGACCTTGAGATAAAGACCTGAGCTGAGGGGCTCCTGGGTGGCTCAGTCGGTTAAGCCTCTGCCTCTTGATTTTGGTTCAGGTCATGGTCTCAGGGTCCTGAGATCGAGACCCGTGTTGGGCACCACGCTCAGGGTGGAGTCTGCTTGTCCCTCTCCCTCTGTTCCTTCCCCCACTCACTCTCTCTCTCTCAAATAAATAAAATCTTAAAAAAAAAAAAAAAAGCTGAGATCAAGAGCCGAATGCTTAAGCAACTGAGCCACCCAGGTGCCCTCACCCCCATCACTCTTGTATCACTGTCTTTAATTACTTTATACCTAGCACTGGTCACTAGTTAAAATGGTTGGCTTCTGTATTTGCCCATGTTTTCCACAACAGTGTAAGCTCAGTTAGAACAGGTGCATTGTCTGTCTTGTTTACAGGTTTGTCCTTAGAGCTCAGCACAGTCTCTGGAGCTTGGGTCCTTTGGGATTCTGATGTTTAGTGTAGACATTTTTCACCACAACATCTCCAGCTTTGGGTATTGGTAGTTGTTAAGTTTTTTTTTTTTAAATGTTATTTATTTATTTGAGAGAATGAGAGAGAGAGAGAGGGAGAGAGAGCATGAGAGGGGGTTGGGTCAGAGGGAGAAGCAGATTCCCTGCCGAGCAGGGAGCCCGATGCAGGACTCGATCCCGGGACTCCGGGATTATGACCTGAGCCGAAGGCAGTCGCTTAACCAACTGAGCCACCCAGGCGCCTGGTAGTTGTTAAGTTTTAATACCTCCATAGCTATAAAGTTTGAAGTAGAGTTTCGAAGTCATTGGTCATAACATTCCCCCACCCAAGTAGTCCTTCTACGTCTTTTGCATTTATCTTGCTGCCCCGTGTCATCAGGTTGAAGATAACTTTTCATTATCTCACCTAACGACAATGATCAGTTTCTCTTCCCTGTCAGATTGCAAGCAGGCATTACCTCTGTATGCCTTAGATAAAAAGCACATAGTCAGCACTCAGCAAGTATTTACGGTTATCAGTGTCTTTTGTGGAATACTCATGAGGGTTGAATAAATGATTAAGCAAAGCTACATTTGTTTTTAAACGTTTTTTTTGTTTTTAAGATTTTATTTAGAGAGTGCATATGCCCATGCTAGTGGGAGGAGGGTTAGAGGGAGAAAGAGAATCTCCATCTCAAGGTAGTTGCCTTTGTTACCTTCATTCTACAGTTAGGTAGACTGAGGCACAGGGAGGTTAATTTGCCTAAGGTCACAAAGCTAATAATAAGCAGAGCTGGGACTTGAACCCAGTTCCTCGCAGAGCCCACTCTTAACCATCATGCCATGTGCCTCTCTTATCTGCCACTGTTTCTTGAAATATAAACAATTATTTGAATGTAGACTCTCCGCAGCATCTCACTGTACCGTAGTCTCTAACTTTTGGACTTAGTTGAGTATTCTGTCTCTGTTATCTTGGTGGTCTGTTTTCATATTGTCAAGAGCCAGCTGAAGGAGAGGCCCTTTTTTGGCTTTTGAAAAGAAGTTACTTTATAGACAAGTTAGTGTTTGCACTTTACAAGTAGATAAAAAAAAAAAGAGACCACAATTAACAGTCCCCCTAGAATGCTGAAGAGCCTGATAACATTGACTACTTTGCCATCTCTCTGTTCTGGCTTGTTTTGCTTCTGCCTGTTTTGTGTGAGTCAGGCTTTTGGTGGGTGAACAAAGTTTTTTTTTTTTTTTTTAAGATTTTATTTATTTGAGAGAGTGCGCGCACGAGAGTGAGCACAAGCAGGTGAAGGGCAGAGGGAGAAGCAGATTCCCCGCTGAACAGAGAGCCTGATGCGGGGCTCGATCTCGGGACCCTGGGATCATGACCTGAGCCGAAGGCAGACGCCCAACAACTGAACCACCCAGGTGCCCCCAAGTTCACTTTGGAGAGAAGGAATGCTCTTGTCTTGAATCTGCCCCATTTCCTAATCACTAATTTATGCCCTGCAGTGAATTTTGAAGGATGTACCGGTCAACCAAGGACAGCCTATATTGCTGATGACACACGATTCAAAGTGAGCACAGATGGTGTGGTTGCAGTCAAGCGGCCTCTCCACCTTCATAAACCGGAGATGAATTTTCTAGTCCATGCCTGGGACTCCAGCCGCAGGAAGCTCTCCACCAGAGTTATACTGAAGGCAGCCGAGCACCACCACCACCGCCGCCGTCATGTATGTTGCAGTGTTTCTTGAAAGTTCACTGTTGGTTTAAGTCTTTTGCCTAATCTGAGTGCTCTACCCTTGGCACCTTTCACATTTGGGGCTGGATAGTTTGTTGTTGTTGTTGTTGTGATGTTTAGCAGCCTCTCTGGCTTTAGCCCACTAGACAGATACCAGTAGCACTCTCCTAGTCATCACAACCAAAAATGTTTCCAGACATGGCCAATGGCAACTGCTGGGGGAGGGGGGGTGTTGCGGAATCACTCCCTACTTGAGAACCATTGGTCTAATTGAACTAATTCTTGCTGGGAATTTTTTTGTGTTTGGGTGGGGAGGGATCCTGTGGAATGATGGCAAAGTGTTAATATCTTCATTTTCTGTCGGTAATAAAGAATAGTGGGTAAGAGCGTGGACGCTGTCTGGGATTGAATCATAGTCCTACCACTTGCTACCCGAGTAGCTGTGGGAGAGTTCATTTAAGGAATTTCAAGCAGAGAGAGGTTACCTATAACATTGAGAAAATAATGACTGCATGAATTAATACATGTGAAATGCTGCAACTGTGTTAGGCATGCAGTAAGTACTCAGCAGTTGTTAATTGTCGTCTTGGAGGAAGAATGAACAAGAGATCAATTCTCTGATCATTTTATTTTACTCTTTTTATTATTTTAATTTAAAATTTAGTTAACATATTTCTCTATCCCCACCCCCCCTGTTTTATTTTACTCTTTGTGTTTCTAGTGGGGCGAGGGTCTTGGGATGGGAGGAGAAGAATCAATGGGAAGCTTTAGTTCTGTTGGACTGTAATCTGCGCAAGATACTTCCCCATTGTATTCTTAGTGCGTGGCACACACCAGGAGCCCTGTAAATATTGAATGGACAGAAGGGTGAATTGGCCATGAATGAAAGGATATATGTCTGTCCAGTTCTTGGCAAGAATGTTTCTGGGTATTGTTACCCAAGCCAGACACCTTTGCTAGTTTCTCAACTGTTCCCATGGTGCTTCCTACCAAAATGTCTCTCTGGAGGCTGTTCTAGTTGTATCCTGGTACTGCCTTAAAAATACGGAACATGTTGGAAGTACCAAGGTCTTTCAGGCTGTCTCCTGTTTTTCTGCCCAAAGATTGTTGAGGTTGCAGGAACTTAATAGTCCTGATACATCTATTCTTTTCCCCCGGTGTAATTGGATAGACCAGAAAAATGAAGAACGTAGTAGAAGTGTGTTAACATAACTTCCTGACTCAAGTCTCCGACTGATTCCATTATTTATGTAAATTCAGCATGGTGAGTTCTTGCTGGACAACTGTGTGTGGAAGGCTCTCAGGACCAAAAGACAAGATTTGAGCTTGGTTTTTCAAACTTTTCCTCCCTACTTCTGCCAATTTTGCCCCTGCCTTCATTTTTGTTGTATCATGATTAAGTTCAAACACATAGTATAGAAAACTGTGAATGACAGTGGTTTATGCAAAAGAGTATTTCTCTGTCAAGTTAAAGAAACTCAAGGGTAAGTTGTAGCTAGTATGGAGACCCCACAGTCATTAGGAGCCCAGGTGTGTGTGTAACCGATATGCAGGAATGCAATACTGGGAAGGATTCTGTAATGATATCTTGTCTTATGTCCATCTTGTGCATTTTTCATAATATATATTACATATTTATTAAGGCAAGGACCTATATAGAAAAAAACATTTGTTCTGCTTAAGGCATACTTGGGAATAAACCATTGTACAAATTATTGTATATCTGAAACCACAGTGCATAACAGACGGTCTGCATAAAAATGTTAAAGAAGCAAACCAGGTGTATTTACCTGACTTAGGTCATAAATGTAGATCGGAAGACAAAAATAGATTTTCCTTGTCAAAGTATGAAGCAGTTTGAGAACTTTAGCTTCCTCATTTGGTACCTTTAGAACCAAGACTCACCGAGCACCATCGTTTAGGTTATTAAAAACCCATTTTCTGGGGCGCCTGGGTGGCTCAGTTGTTAAGCGTCTGCCTTTGGCTCAGGTCACGATCCCAGGGTCCTGGGATCGAGCCCCACATTGGGCTCCCTGCTCCGCGGGAGGCCTGCTTCTCCCTCTCCCACTCCCCCTGCTTGTGTTCCTTCTCTCGCTGTGTCTCTCTCTGTCAAATAAATAAATAAAATCTTTAAAAAAATAAAAATAAAAACCCATTTTCTGTACCTGAATTTCTTCCTCTTCTTCTAATATCATAATAATGGGTTTTAGAAGGCAAAGAGAATACAAGGTGATCTTTATACTTATATTGCATCTAAACACAGTTCAAGGGAATTCTGGTCTTCCCCACCCCCCAACTCATGGCTCTAATTTATACCCTGATAGCCACACCTTCCAGTCACCCCCTTGGTATTTTGTAAGTGCAGGAATATTCAAGTTGGATTTAACATTGGAATGACAGAAGATCCACTCACAGACCCCATGGGTTCTTTGATTTGTCTTCTGGTTTCCTTGTGTCTCCTGATTACCAATTCACAAGTTGGGCTGTTGGGAACTTGACCATGATTATAGTGCTTTCTGGCTGGGTTCCTCCCCTCACCACCTCCCCCCGCCCCGGTGGGGGGAGTTGGGGAGATAGTGTGAAAAGTAAAAAAAATAAAAAATAAAATCAACACTGAATTCACTTCTGGCAGGGTAGGTTATATCCACTGTTTTGTGCTTTAACAGTTTCTCTTCATGTGTTAGGCGAGGTGGTCCGACCTGGAGAAGGCCGGGTGGGACTTCTGGCGCTGGAGGGGGTGCGGTTCCCGTTGTGTTTTGCCCTAGTGTCTGGTCAGTTGGTCGGAGCGGGCGCATTTCCACCCACAGCCGTCCCAGTCACAGTGGGAGGGCCTCTCACCTCTGTGGGTTCGCAGTTGTACCTTGAGGTGAGGATTCTTCGTGGAGGTTTTGCTGCAGCCCGCATAATCACAAGTGTTTGTGGCAGTCCTTTTCCAGGGCCATGACCTTCTCCCCCTCTTTGGTTTGGCATGCAGGAACCAGGGGGCATGAACTCTTAGTAATGGAGTGGTGGGACCTGTGGCTGCATCTGTTCTGGCCAAGAGGGTGGGTAGTTGGCCCCGGGGGGGCTGTTGGGGGGGGTAGGACCTGCTGGTCTCTGCTCCTCCAGCAGCCAGGGTCGGTATAGTCTTGCAGGGGAGCTGCCGCCCCAGGGGGAAGTCGTGAGCCTGGCCGCATTTTAGGCATTTTGAATCAAATCTGAAAAGTCAGGAAATAGTGCTTGAATCGCCTTTGACAAGCCGTGATCAGTGATTATGTGGGGAGTGGGAGATGGAACTGCCCTCTAGAACCTTCATGTATTACCGCTAATCACTTTAAAGCACTTAAACAATTTGGAGGGTATTTTTCTTCCATCTTCACTATCTTATTTCCCTGTGTGTGCATAAAATTATCTTTATCACACATGAAAACCATTCAATACAAATCTCAAAGGGTGTTTTTGGTTCCCATCCCAACAGCTTCTGTTAGAACAAATGGAAATCAAACAGATAAAACAACACAATGAGATTAAAGAATTTGTATTGATCACAAAGTAGTTCTTAGTACCAATTCCTAAAGCTTAACTCATCTTGGCTGAGAGCTCCACTTTGGGGACCTAAGCCCCTAGGAAAAACATAAAAGAAAATTGAAACGCTTGCATATCCTGTTGTTGAATAAGCTCATATTAAATCATCAGGGTGTAATGTTCTACTAAAAATGACAGGTATAATATATTTAGGCTTGAAATAATTTGCAAAATAATACTTAACCCTCAAACGTATAATTGTGTATACATAATGATTACTTGAACTCTGGACATTAGAAGGATCAGAAGGGAACACCATCTTTATTATATGGCAGAGAAGTTCATTGGGTTGTGTTTCGTTGTTAAATTAAAAGCATCGCCGGCCCCCAAGAAGGCTGGAGATGCTGGCTGGTTAGGTGGGACTGTTTGGCCTGTATTAACTATCCTGAATTACCTGATTTTGTTCTTCATCTCCTTTCCTTTTAGGACGCTCTCTCTGAAGCCCAGACAGAAGTGCTCATGTTTCCCAACTCCCAGCATGGTCTTAGAAGACAGAAGAGAGACTGGGTTATCCCTCCTATCAGCTGCCCTGAAAATGAGAAAGGCCCATTTCCTAAAAATCTGGTTCAGGTAGAGAAGGAAGTTTTCTATTTCTCTGGGAGCAGTTTGGCAGAGAAGGACCTAGATGAAAAAGGGGGGAAAGCCCCAATGTCTGGATCCTTCCTTGATAATTCTATTTGTTTCTGTTTGGTCTTCAGATCAAATCTAACAGGGACAAAGAAATCAAGGTTTTCTACAGCATCACTGGCCAAGGAGCTGACACACCTCCTGTTGGTGTGTTTGTTATTGAAAGAGAAACAGGATGGCTGAAGGTGACAGAGCCTCTGGATAGAGAACAAATTGCCAAGTACATTGTGAGTATCTCTCAGAAGCATGCTAATAGGGGGTCATATCCTTCCAAAATTTTTTGGTCAACCCATGTTGGATCCCTAGGTCAGATGCTCTGGACATGTGAGGCTTAATTGGATACCTCTACACCTGTTGACAAGGGGAGATGACAGGAGAATCTGGAAAAATAGGGGAAGGGGTGTTGATTTTTTTCCCCCATTGGGAATAAAGAAAGGAGAAACCTTAGGATCATACATGAGTTTAGACCCAAGATAACAACTTACTCTTGGGGCTGAAAGTCCCTGACCCAGAGGAAGAGGCCATTTATGATGTTGGGAAGCAAAAGCCATTCCTGGGCCTTGGTAGCAGTGTGAGCTTGCAGAGCTGGTGGGGGGGTAATGCATTGAGGCCAAAATGCAGAAAAATCTGGGAGACACACTCGACTAGAACAGCCAACAGAGGAAATTTTACCCTGCTAGGAACAAGAATGTTTTAGGCCTGGCTCCCCAGCCCTCCTGTGGGAAATGGGAGCTCTCACCTGGTGGGTGTGTTCTGCAGCCCATGAGTCTTTACATATCATGACCTCAACCAGTGTCATGACATCCCTGAAGCAGCAGCACATGTTCTCACATGTGTGAGAAAAGTTCTCTGCGGGGGGCGGGGGGCTGTCCATCCTTGGGTCTTGGAGAGTGGGAGGGAGTGGAGGCCAGCTGGAGTTCTAGTCATACGACTTCTCGCATTTCTTCCTCCTTCTTGGGGCCCAAGTAACCCTCGCTTGGCTGTTACAGCTCTACTCTCACGCCGTGTCTTCTAATGGGAATGCAGTGGAAGACCCAATGGAGATCGTGATCACGGTGACAGATCAGAATGACAACAAGCCCGAGTTCACCCAGCAGGTCTTTGAAGGATCTGTCATGGAAGGTGCTCTTCCAGGTATGCCCAGTCTCGAAGAGCTGAATACCCAGAAGGACACTTAGATTCTTTGGACCTCAAAGTGTTGGGACTTGTGTTTGGGGTCAGGTCCTTCCTAGGAACAGAACTTCTTTGGAAGCCAGTGAGAGAGAGAGAGAGAGTGTGTGTGTGTGTGTGTGTGTGTAAAACATCCATTCTACAGAAATGTGTATTATAAAATAGGAGTCCTGGAATCAAGCCCTGCGTCGGGCTTCCTGCTCAGCAGGGAGCCTACTTCTCCCTCTCCCTCTGCTGCTCCCCCTGCTTGTGCTCTCTTCTCACTCTGTCAGATAAATAAATAATAAATAAAGTAAATCAGTAAATAATCTTAAAAAAAAAAAGTTTAAGAAGGGTGCCTGGGTGGCTCAGTCAGTAGAGCATGCGACTCTTGATCTTGGGGCTGTGGGTTCAAGCCCCACATTGGGCATAGAGCTCACCACCCTCCCACCCCCACCTCCCAAAAAGGAGCAGTTTAAGAACCTTCCCTGATTAAGAAACAGATCTTTGCCATTCCTGAACACATTCTTTTTTCTTCCCTGTAAATGTAGCCACTGCCCTGACTTTGGCAATCATTCCTTTGCTTTCCTTTATCATGTGTATATTTACCCCTCAGTAATATCCGGGTTTTTTTGCATGTTTTCAAACTTTGTACACGTGGAATCACACCTCACGTGTATTTCTGGTGTGCTTCTCTCACTCAGCTTTATGTACATAAAAGTTCTTCATGTTGGTGCCCATAGCAGCCCAAGGTCATTCATTTGTTCTCATTGCTGCATCGTATTCAGTATTTTTATATTTATATAAAGCACTTTATTCCTCTGTTGATGGGAATTGAGTTTGTTTCAGTTTCTTGTTATTAGAAGTAGTGTTCTCAGAACATTTTTTTAATATATTACCTGATGTGTACACAGAAGGCTTTTCTAGGGTGTATATCTGTGAGGGCAGCTTGCTCGGTAACATACGGTATGTATACTACTATACTACTCAGTGTGTCCACATGGTGACAGGCTGCTTTCCAAAGTGGTTGAACCACTTAACGCTCCTACCAGCAGTCAATATCCTAGAATTGTTAAGACATTTTAGCTTTGTTGATTGTGCAGTTGTATCTCGTACAATTTTAAATGGCCTTTCCCTGATTTATTAGTGGGCTAATAAACATTTTCTATGTTGGCTGGCCATCTGGGTTTCTTCTTTATGACTTGTCTCTTCACGTCTTTTGCTCCTTTTCCCCTTGGGCTATTTGTCCTTTTCCCGTGGAGCCGTAAGGAATTGTCGATGTCGTGGGCACTGGCCCTTTGACAGTCAGAGGTACTATAAGTATTCTCTGCCACCTTGAAGGCTGTGATCGCAAATGACCATTCTCTGTGATGAAGCTGGGCCTGAGAAGCCAGTTGTGGATATTGGTGGGATTTTTTCCTCTTTTCCACCTCATTCACTCGGGATGGGAGACAAGGCACAGGGTTTCAGTTTATTTATTCTCCATCCTCCTCACCTCCAGCCTCCATCCAAAATTGTTGGAAAAGCCAAGTCCTTGGAACACTGCTCAGGGGGTGGAATGCTTTCTTCCTCCCCTACCATTTTGGTAAAAATTTTGGAAATTAGAGAATGGAGGAGCCATAACATGGTACCATTTCCTGGGGCTCCTCCTTTAACACTCTGGACAGCCATGTTGACCAGAATCCAAAGTGCAGCTTAACTGAATCTTTCTCTCCCTCGGCACTTGCAGGCACCTCCGTGATGCAGGTCACAGCCACAGATGCGGATGACGATGAGAACACCTACAACGCCGCCATTGCTTACCGCATCGTCACCCAAGAGCCCCTCCTGCCTAACGGCATGATGTTCACTATCAACAAGGACAAAGGAGTTATCAGCGTGCTCACCACCGGGCTGGACCGGGAGGTCAGGGGTGAAGAGGGTCTTGAGGCTGTTGAGGGCAAATAGACATCAGCTAAATCACATGGACAATGTAAAACTCTTCTGAGGCCGGTTGCCACGTACTGTGTTTATGGTCTGAGCTTTGCATCTAAACAGCTCTCTAGAGGTTTTGTACCTAGAAAGCAGGCTGGCATTGAAGCAGATGATCAAATAAACCGTTCCCATGCTCTGGGCTGGGCTTGATGTGGCTGTTGGTCCTGACTCACATGTGTTTGATCTCTGCAGAGTATTCCCACATACAGCCTGGTGGTTGAGGCTGCTGACCTGCAAGGTGAAGGCTTAAGTACCACCGCAACAGCTGTGATCACAGTCACTGACATCAACGATAACCCCCCCGTCTTCAAACCCACCACGGTAATTCTGCAGACCCCTGGACGGTTTCCAAAGAAAGGCCTCTGTTGTTTCGCAACTGCTCATGGGTGAACCCTTTGAAAACTTGCCCCATACTAGCGAGCTTTAAAGAAGCAAGCCAATTGGGATGCCAATCTTATCTGTCATCCTCAGCACAGGCCCTACTGACACAGGTTTGCAGAGTTGTAAATGGCACCTATGGGTGCCTGGCTGGCTCAGTCCGTGAAGCATGCGCCTCTTGATCTTGGGGTTGTGAGTTCAAGCCCCATGTTGGGTGCAGAGATGAGTAGGGTTTTTTGTTTTGTTTTGTTTTTAAAGGCACCTTTTGAATTCATGTCCTCATGTTGTACATCTTGGTAGCAAATCTTACCAGGTTTTGTTTATTCACTGAGCAAATACTTTCTAAGTTTATCACACAGGAATTGTGTTATACACTGGAGATATTATCACAACAAGACAAAGATTCTGCTCTCAATGGAGTTGATAGTCTAGCTAGGGAGATGTTTTGACAACCTGTACAAATTATTGTGTACAATTATATTAAAAGAAGATGAGAAGGTATTAAAAGTTACACGAAAAAGCTCTTAATAAATCTTAATATGTTCGTTAGAAATAAGCTCAGTGGTTAGTAACAGAGATTTGACTCTGCCTTAAACAAATAGGGTAAACTTTCTCTCGTGTCACAAAAAACCTAGAGCTAGAGTATCTACACTGTTAACGGAACCTCCTCCGTCTTGCTGTCCCACCATCACTGGTGCATGGCTTCGATCCTCGGTGGCCCCTGTGCTTCCTTCAGGAAGGAGGCAAGGGCATGGGGAGCAAAAGGCATTGCTGCTCAGTCAAGGCCTCTCACTTCTGTGCAGACTCCTCCCACAAGTTTCCTTAACCTCTTATTAGCAACTGCTGTCTTAGAAGATGACCAGAAATAAAATATTTTGTTTGGGCACATTGTTGCCCCCAACAATATAGTTCGTGAAGAAGGGGCGAGTGGTTATTTACTAGGCAGTTAGCCGTGTCTGCCCCCCTAACCCAGGTATTGTGAGTACAAGAAGGCTTCACAAAGCCTAGAACATTTATAGTAAGACATGAAAGGCCTTGTCTGAGGCCTCTGCATCAGCATTCTAGAGGCCAAGTAGAAAGCCTGCGCTTTGGGTGAACGCCCTGATCTCTGCATCTAGCCTACTTCCAGCCTGCTCCTTACCTGCAGGTCCTGGACCTGGACTGCAGTCTCTAGCCCAGCCATCCCTGCCACAGACCGGCTGCCCCCACAGCCCATGGCCTTCTATCCTGCCCATTTTTTTTGCCTAATGGGCTTCTGTGCAATTCGTAGTTTTTCTATAAACTGACCCTTGTCTTAGTAGAGCCTTTAGGAGATTTTTGTTCGAAACCAAGGACCTCCCTTCAGCTCAGAACAGGTTTTTCCCTCGATTCCAGCCCAAAGTTTTACGTACCTTTCTAGTTTACTCAGTAAATTTGTGGATGGCTTTACTCCCTTCAATATTGTTCGCTTTACGTCTCAAGAAATGGTGAAAGGTACATCAGTCTAATAAAATACAAAATAACCAGGATAAAAAAAATAAGACCTGAAAGGAGGTTGTCAAATGTGGGACAGGGGACAGTGGAAGAGTGTTCTAGGCAGAGGGATCACCATATGCAAAATGCTCTGAATCAATAAAAAGTTTTCAAGAACTGAAAAACAGTCTGTGTAGTGAACCAAAGGAGGTTGGGTCCTACAGGACCTTGTAGATGGAGGAAAGAATTTTAGAATTTATCCTGAGTGCAAGGGGACATCATCAAGGGTTTTAAGCAGAGGACTATACTGACCAGACTTCTGTTTTATGGAAATCATTGGTACCACTGGGAATGATGGAAGAAGAGGGAATGATGGATAAGCCACAGTGTCTTGAGTTTGATTAAGATCACAGTCAGCAACTGGGCCAGAGTGTGCTGAGGGGCTCAGGTAGCCAGGTCCTTAAAAAGCCAACTCAGGTAGTCTTGAAGGATGATGCATCTTGAGTAGTATTGGCTGCTCCCCCAACAGGAAATAGGGGCTCTACTGGTGGAATGGGTACTTCCTCCAAGACTCTCCTTGAATCTTGGGCTCAGAAAGGATTTCTTTAGCCCTTATCGACCTGGCTCATCTATTAGGTCTCAGGATGTCATAAGTGACCCATCTTTTCCTTTCCTCTTTAGTACCAGGGGCAGGTGCCTGAGAACAAGGCTAACGTTGAAATCACCGTACTCAAAGTGACTGATGACGATGTCCCCAATACCCCAGCATGGCAGGCTGTGTACACCATATTGAACAATAACAATGAGCAATTTGTTGTCACCACAGACCCAGTAACCAACGACGGCATTTTGAAAACAGCTAAGGTTTGTATGGTGCCTGGCAAGATGCAGAAACCGACATCTCAGCTAGCTGCCCACTCCCTTGTCCCTTGGTGTCTTCTAAGATGTAGATTAGCATGGCATTGGTGGGCTAGGGGTGGGCAGCTTTCCCAGGTTCTGGTGGGCCATTTGGGGTTTGCAGCAACTCTTTAGGCACATGTGAGACGCTCCTACGCAGCTTCTTGAAATTGAGGAGAAAGAAAGTACCATCTGTTTTAAAAGACTTTCTCCCTGAAACATTTGCCCCATATCCATTTTGCAAATGAGAGGAAAAATGGCTTACTGGTCTCTGCCATTTTGCTGGATTATTTTAGAAGTGGGACAAATGACTTTTTGAAAGATGTCTTGGAAACTTGAAAACTAAGAAGTTGGGTGATTTCTTTGTCGAAGTTAGTCAGAGTTAGTGGATCTCTGGATTAGCCCCCAAACTTAGACCTCCTTATTGAGCAAGTGAGCAAAACCATCCATCCTTGCATCACTTACTGCATAACCTTATCTCCCACTGAATATTGGATGTCAACATTTTCTATGCTACCAACAAAAGAAAGAAGCCAGTAAAATGAGCCCCTACCGTACACAAAGTCCATCATAAAAGTTCCCAGTTTATTCCTTACAGCAACTCTATGAAGCAGTTCCTTTTCCTATGTATTTGGGTGTGGAAACAGATCCAGAAGTTAATTTGCCTGAACCACACAGCTAGGAAATGGCTCACCTGGGCTCTGACCTTGTTGGCTGATTCTGAACTTCATGTTGTCACTAAACTTGAGATCGGTGTGGTCAGAAGCAGGGTCTTCTGTCCATCTGCTGTCACATGGACAACACGTCACATGGTATATCAACATTCTTACTGGTCTTGGATAATAAAAGACTTAAGGTACTAGTGTTTGTTTGCTGGGTTTTGCTGTTTGAGGCTTCACGTACATAGCTCATTTTTATTCTTCTGCTAGGGTTCTCGTCTTGAATATGGTTGCCTGTTAGCTTTTGAAAAACATCCACGGCCAGGCCCCACCCCCAGAGATTATTGTTTGCTGGGTTAGGGTGCAGGCCTTCATTTTCTTCAGAACTTCCCAAGTTACTTCTTCCTAACACAGCTAGATTGGAGAACCATGAAGATATTGCTGGTCAACAGCAATAGTTAAGGATGTAATCTTTTTTTTTTTTTTATACTAACATAAAATATATTTTTTTAACTCCTTTCTTCTTTGCTCCTTAGGGCTTGGATTTCGAGGCCAAGCAGCAGTATATTCTGTACGTGACCGTGGTGAATGTAGCCCCATTTGAGGTCATTCTCTCCACCTCCACAGCCACCGTCACTGTGGACGTGGAGGATGTGAATGAAGCCCCCGTCTTTGTGCCTTGTCCAAAGACAGTGGAAATACCTGAAGACTTTGGTGTGGGCCTGGAAATCACATCCTACACTGCCACGGATCCAGATAGTTTTATGGGACAGAGGATAATGTAAGTATAAGGATTTTTCAACAGTCTTGCAGTAGCTGGGGTGTGTGTGTGTGTGTGTGTGTGTGTGTGTGTGTGTAAAATATTTAGTTCATAGCATTTTATCATTGTCTGTGCAAGACCCTTTTCTTGTTTGGCTCCCCCCCGCCACATTCCCCACATCTTTTCCATTTCTTCTATAGCCAGCCATTCTATATTTACTGTGCTTTCCTCTCTTTGGGTTCATGCAGTGAGGCAGGAATGTGGTTTTAATTGACATACATGGTGTGTTATAAGGAGCTCACTATTTTCTCTCCTTTTAAACTGGAAGGCGCCTCTGTAGTCTAAATCACACCCACACATATTGAAAACACATGAGCAAACCAACAGCAACACCCCATGACCATGTATGACAAATAATGTCCTTCATCTTTTGAGGCTGGATTTGACTAGGGAAGAACAAGTAGAGCACAAATCCTAACTTGACGCACGTGTCTTGTTAGTAATGGTGTGATTTCCAGGGGTAACAGGGCTTGGCCAATGTGCCTGCTTCCTCTTCTCAGAGAGGTTCTGACCTCTTAACATCTACTCTAGAGGAAACTGTAACAATGAACTATTTAGTGGTGCCTGGGTGGCGCAGTCCTTTGGCGTCTGCCTTTGGCTCAGGTCATGGTCCCAGGGTCCTGGGATCGAGCCCCACATTGGGCTCCCTGCTTGGCAGGAAACCTGCTTCTCCCTCTCCCACTCCCCCTGCGTGTGTTCCCTCTCTTGCTGTGTCTCTGTCAAATAAATAAATAAAATCTTGAAAAAAACAAAAACAATGAACTGTTTAGAAAAAACTACAAATCTGGAGTAGCATCTTGTTTACTAATTGAGTGTGTTCCTGTTTTGGGGGGGGTGTTTGCTTTAACATCAATGCTTTTTACTTATTAAACTTCAAACAAAAAGAGTTTAAGTGTGACTTCAACTTGTAAGGTTATTCTGGGGATTTTTTTTTTTTAAGTTTTTATATATTTGAGAGAGAGAGCACGAGCAGTGGGGAGAGGGAAAAGCAGACTCCCCACTGAGCAGGGAGCCCGATGTGGGGCTCGATCCCAGGACCCCAGGATTATGACCTGAGCTGAAGGCAGCCGCTAAACCGACTGAACTACCCAGGCACCCCTGTTCTGGAAATTTTTTTATGCTGATTCTGTCCTGAGTGAAAAAGCTCCTGAATACCTGTGGACCACGCATGTGCCCTGTTGAGGAGGAACTAAACATGGGGGCTAGGTAGTGATCTTGAAGGCTGCTAGAACTGAGTCATTAGGTCAAGGATGATGGGGAAATTTTAAATGGAGGCTCATAGCACCAAAACCTTCTGATTGTTTTTAACATTTACTATTAAATAAAATAAAAAAAAGGCAAGGACAGTGCTACATGATGTGCTACTTGATGTGATCAGCAGCACGCACCCAGTGCCACTAAGGAAATGTTTTTATGGAGAAAACAAAAGGTGGGACAGAATGTAGTCCAGCATGATCCTGGAGTCCCGGGATTGAGTCCCGCATCAGGCTCCCTGCTCAGCAGGGAGTCTCCCTCTGCCCCTCCCCCCTCTCATGCTTTCTCTCTCGCAAATAAATAAGTAAAATCTTTTTTAAAAAAAGATATATTTATTTTAGAGAGAAAGTGCAATGGAGGAGGGGCTGGAGAAAGGGGAGAGAGAATTTCAAGCAGAGAGCCCGAGGTGGGATTTGAACCCATGACTCTGAGATGAAGACCTGAGTTAAGATCAAAAGTCAGATGCTTAACCGACTGAGCCATTCAGGCACCCCTGGTAAGATGTGTTTATAATCAAACTTGAAAAGTAGAGTGAAAACCGAAGACAGTATTGTAGGGTTTTTGTTCAGTGATAAAGTGTTGGAGTGTATGGTTTCAAGGGTGGGTTGACATCTTAGCTTGCAGTAGTGAAATGGGTAGTTCAGAGCTTCTCTTTGAGGGACACCTGGGTGGCTCAGTTGGTTAAGCGTCTGCCTTCGGTTCAGGTCATGATCCCAGGGTCCTGGGATCCAGCCCTGCATCAGGCTCTCTCCTCAGCAGAAAGTCTACTCCCTCTGCATTCTCTCTGTCTCTCTCAAATAAACAAAATCTTTACAAAAAAACAAAAAAACTTCTCTTTGAGCAAGTACAGGGACCAAGTCTTACTAGTGTGTGTTGAAGCCCTTACCTCTGGAATAAAGACCACTCTATGTGGTTCATGGCTTTGTACTTGTAAAGAGGTGAGGATGTACCCACGGGTATCCAAGGCCCTTTCGTCCTTAGGTTATTTGTTTCCTTTTCTGAGTCTTCCCATGACCTTGGCAGATGACTGGGCACTGTATCTCTGTTTTTCTTTTTCTTTTTAAAGATTTTATATATACAGAGCACATGGTACTGGGAGGGCAAAGGGAGAGGGAGAGGCAGATTCCCCTCGGAGCAGGGAACCCAACTCGGGGCTTGATCCCAGGACCCTGAGATCATGACCTGAGCCGCAGGCAGATGCTTAACCAACTGAGCCACCCAGGCACCCCTATCTTTGTTTTTCATGCCTTTGTTCCCTCGGATTGAATGTTTCTGGTCCTCCTAATAAGGTGTTGCTTAACAGGATTTTTTGAGTAAAACTTTTTTCTTCCTCTGTAAGACAGGAAGGAACTTGAGCCTCTCTGGCACCTACCAACAAAGGCCAATAGTACAACCCACCCTCGGGCCACTGTGTGAACCCAAACCTCATAGTGCTCATGGTGGGGGTGCTGCGTGGTATGTTGCCACCATTTGAGAGCTACTGTACCCCTTGGGGAGCTGGTCTGAAAGAGTTTTGCTTTTAAAAACACATAGGGTCATAGTATTCATTGCTTCAGGGAAGAATTGTCCGTAGATGTTAAATCTCTTGGATTTAAGTCAGTTGGTGAACAGGATATTGTCACATTTTCTCCCCTCAGGTCATAGATTAATTACCAAGAGAAAAAAAGGAACTTTTGCTTTAAAGAGATCTGGTTGCCTGTGCCCTTACCAAGTGATTGAAGTGAATATCACCATGAAAAGAACAGCCGTCATGTGCCTCCTAATGCGAATGATACACTGAGGACACACATCACCTCCACACTGTTCTTGCTTCCCCTTCCTTTGCATAACTTGAAACTACTTCGGAGGGAGGGGCGCCAAGGTGCTCAATTGCTTAAGCGTCTGCCTTTGGCTCAGATCATGATTTCAGGGTCCTGGGATCGAGTACCGTATTGGGCTCCCTGCTCCGTGGGGAGTCTGCTTCTCCTTCTCCCTCTGCTTCCCTGCTCCTCTCTCTGTCTCAAATAAATAAAATCTTCAAAAAAATAAAAAATAAAAACCACAAAACTACTTAGGAGGGAATAATCAGACAACCCAAATTGAGGGGCTTTCTACAAAACAAGTAAACTGCACTTTACCTTTTTTTTTTTTTTTTAAGATTTATTTACTTATTTCAGGGAAAGAGAGGGCGAGCTCGGGGGAGGAGCAGAGGGAGAGGGAGAAAAAACCTCAAGCAGACTCCATGCTGAGTATAGAGCCCGATGTAGGGCTTGATCTCAAGACCCATCATGACCTGAGCAGAAACCAAGAGTCAGGTGCTTAACCGAATGCCCCACTCAGGCGCCCCTGGCCTACACTTTTCCAAAAAGTGTTGAGAAAGAAAAGAAAGGCTGAGGACCAGTTCCAAATTAGGGAAACATGATGTCTAATTCTGGAGGGATCCAGAATCTGGGCAGGGATGTTCTGGAGGACAGTTTTGTGGAAATTGACAATTTAAATACATGCCATGGGGCACCTGGGTGGCTCAGTTGTTAAGCGTCTGCCTTCGGCTCAGGTCATGATCTCGGGGTCCTAGGATCGAGCCGCGCATCCGGCTCCCTGCTCCACGGGAAGCCTGCTTCTCTCTCTCCCTCAGAAAATGCCTCTGTTCTTAGGGGATAACATGGGCTGAAGTATTTCTGAGTAAAAGAACATGGTGTCTGCAACTCACTCTTAAAGGGTTTACCCGGTGGGTGAATCCAGGTGAAGGGGACATGGATGGTCATACTCTGCTGTAGATCTGATCAATCAACAAAGAGGAACCTTAGCCTTCTTCAGCCATGTGCCGTTTGCTGTACTATTCTAAGCCAGAGCTTGTGCCATTTCAGGTATCGGATTTGGAGGGATGCTGCCAATTGGCTGGAGATTAATCCAGAATCTGGTGCCATTTTCACTCGGGCTGAGCTGGACAGAGAGGACACGGAGCATGTGAAGAACAGCACGTACGAGGCCCTCATTATAGCCATTGATACGGGTAAGGGTGCCCTTAGTATGTGACTTTTGCTGTCTCACCTGTCTGGCTAGCGTGCTTCATCGCCCCCTACCCTTCTTTGAGAGGCAGGAGTTCATTCTTTTTCTTGTATTCTTAAAGCGTGCAATTTTCGAAAGTACAAGTAATTAGGTCAAGCAGAAGCTCTTTATACCTGAACCGACTCCTTCCCCACGGGAGCCAGACTGCCTGGGTCTAGATCTTCGGACTAAAGCTTATGTCCCTTAGTTCCTCTGTCTGACAAAATGATAATACCCCGTCTGGATTTTGAATGAGTTTGTTTATGTAAAAGTGCCCTAGAAGAGTGCCTGCTCTACAAGGACTATCATAATTTTTATCCTCATCATTAGTAGTGAAATGTGGCTCCTTCCAGACTGCTCTTGTGTATTTGAATACATTTATATGCATATAGAAATAGAGTTTATTATAAAGCCACAATCTAGTTTACAGCCTGGTTTTGTTTTTATAATAAAAACCATTGTTTCATACATGTTGATTTAAATTAAAGTTTTAATTTATTTGCTATTATTTATAATATGTTTTAAAGACACAGATCTACTTTGGCACCTTATAAATCTACCTCTTCATAATAAAATAATGTTATCTGGTTATAGCATACTTGAATCGTTCACGCATTAAAGAGCACTGGGATGGTGTCTACCTGTTCATTATTGCCATGAGTTTGATAAGGAAACATCCTTGTCCATGCCTCTGTGTGCAACTATTTCCCTTGGCTGGATATTTAGAAACAGAATTACTGTTAGAAACTGCTTGCTTCCTGGGCTTGTGATGGATTCTATTTCCCTCGCTAACTCTCCAGCTTCCTGAGGTAGTAATGCCAGACTTGACAATCTAGAAAACACAGCAAGGCAGGTAAGGCCATGATGGGGCTGGACAGGTGGCCCTCCATCGCATTGTGATGGTGCTGGGGAAGGATGAGCCTGGCCTCTTCAGTTAGAATCTGAAGCCTGCTCCTGGAGCTGTATTTAGGAGTTAGCAGGTTAAAAGCAGAGAGCGACGCAAGTAAGGCCATGATGGGGTCCCATTCGCAGAATGCTTTTGTCTGAAGGGAAAAGCTAGCCCATGGCTTCAGCCGCACTGGCCAGCTGCTACATGGAAACTCTCCAGCCTGGCCTGGAAGTAAGTGGAGGAAATGGCTCCTGAACGTGCCTTGGCAAACTTTCTGTGAAGGAAGGGCCAGGGAGTAAGTATTTTAGTATCTATAGGCCATGTGATCTTGATGGCTTTTGCAGCCTAGAAGCAGCCATAGACGATCTGTAAAGGGGGGAATGGGCACAACTGCTTCCTCATTTGCCTGGAAGGCCTTAGTTTGCCGATGCCTGACCTGATAATCATGGCTCAGGTGTGATGGTGCTGAATGATTCCTTTAAGTGTTCCTTTGTGCATGACTCAATACTTTTTTTTTTTTTTAAGATTTTATTTATTTATTTGACAGATAGAGACACAGCGAGAGAGGGAACACAAGCAGGGGGAGTGGGAGAGGGAGAAGCAGGCTTCCCGCTGAGCAGGGAGCCCGATGTGGGGCTCGATCCTAGGACCCTGGGATCATGACCTGAGCCGAAGGCAGACGCTTAACAACTGAGCCACCCAGGCGCCCCGACTCAATACTTTTTAATGTAAGGTCTAAGAAGAAGGAGAATGAGGTTTCGTAGAAAATGTGTTAGCTTCTTTTTTATTTTATTTGTATTTTTTTTAAGATTTTATTTATTTATTTGACCCAGAGAAACAGAGAGCGCACGAGCACAAGCAGGGGGGAGTGGCAGGCAGAGGCAGAGGGAGAAGCAGGCTCCCCACAGAGCAGGGGGAGCCCGACGTGGGACTTGATCCCAGGACCCCAGGATCCTCACCTGAGCCGAAGGCAGTCGCCTAACCAACTGAGCCACCCAGGCACCCTGTTAGCTTCTTTTTTAATTAGAAAAAATTTTAAATGACACCTCCTATTTGTTTTTAATTCACATGATAAGGTAAAAAAAGATTTAAACATAAAATATGGCATATGCATACAATGGAATATTATTAAACCTTAAAAAAAGGAAGGGAATCCTGTCACACGTTCAAACATGGATAAATCTTGGGGGCATTATACTGAATAAAAGCCATGTCACAAAAAGGCAAATACTGTATGGTCCCACTTAAGGTAAGAAAGCAGTCGGATTCATAGAGACAAAATAGAATGGTGGTAACCAGGGGCTGGGAGGGAAAGGGAAGTGGGGAGTTGTCTAATGGGTACAGAGTTTCAGTTTTACAAGATGACAAGGTTCTGGAGATCTGTTCCACGATAATGTGAATATACTTAACACTGTTGAACCTAAAATGTAAAATGAACTTCAAAATGTTTGAGATGGTAAATTATATGCTGCATGGTTTGTTTTAACCACGATTTTTTTAAAGGGTAAAAAAAAATAATCACAGTCTGGCTACCCAGGCATAACTCTTTACAGGTTTGAGATAAGAGTCCTGTGTTTTTCTCTATAGTGAACTAATATTGATGGTAATACTTGAGTGTCTATTTTATCAACCCCCGTATGCTAGGTGCTATATCACAATGTAAAAGAAATGTACACAGAAATGTCCAAGTCTGTTTTTGTTTTTGAAAAGCAACTTGCAGCAATTTAGAAAGCTCAGCCCTTTGATAATGACCTTCAAGCCATAGAAGTTCTGAAAAGGGAGAATTGGTGGGGGGGGGCAATGAGAAATTCTTGGAGTGGTTAAAATTTAATGGGTGCAGGGGCGCCTGGGTGACTCAGTCGGTTAAACAACTGCCTTCGGCTCGGGTTATGATCCCAGGGTCCTGGCATTGAGCCCCGCATTGGATTCCTTGCTCAGCAGGGAGCCTGCTTCTCCCTCTCCCGCAGGCTCTCCTCCAGCTTGTGTGCTCGCTCTCTCTCTGTCAAATGAATAAATAAAAACTTTTAAAAAAATTTAATGAGTGCATAAAGGTATGTGTAGAAGAGGGAAGGAGGTGTCCTTGGTGTGAGGTTAATTTGAATAATTGTTGTCAAAGCAGGAAATAAGCATGTCAGAGAGCAGCCGGATCTGAAGTGAAGATGCCCCATGATGGGGAGAGCTGATGGCTCCCTAAAGAGCCAAGCCAAGACTGGAATTTGGTCTGATGGGAATCAGTAGAGCTTCATGAATGTTCTTGAGCTGTGACATTTACTATGTATTTTCTCTTAGGTTCTCCAGTTGCTACTGGAACGGGAACCCTTCTCCTCATCCTCTCTGATGTGAATGACAATGGCCCCATACCAGAACCTCGAAATATGGACTTCTGTCAGAAGAATCCACAGCCTCGTGTCATCAACATCATTGATCCAGATCTCCCCCCCAACACATCTCCCTTCACAGCAGAACTAACACACGGGGCAAGTGTCAACTGGACCATTGAGTACAATGACCAAGGTGGGGACTGGAGTCTTACTTCAGAAACGTTGCTCTGACCTGGTGCTTTCCCTGCTCCCGTCCCTGCTCCTGCCCTCCCCCCTTCTGAAATTCCCTTCTCCACTTCCACGTGTCACCCCTTTTGTTTGATGTGTGTTCATTTGCCCCTTCTACATTTGAGGCATTCCACCAAGTTCCCTTTCCCTTCATGGTATCTGACTCTGCAACGTACGGGCCAGTAATCTACGACCCAAGCAGCTCCAATTTTCTTGACCCTAATAATTTTATTCTAGAATGAGGTTTTTTTCCCCTCCCCTTGTCCCATCATTTATTTTTGTTGCTTCCTCCAGCCCATGAATCTCTAATTTTGAAGCCGAAGAAAACCTTAGAGTTGGGTGACTACAAAATAAATCTTAAGCTCACAGATAACCAGAACAAGGACCAGGTGACCACCCTAGATGTGTTCATGTGTGACTGCGAAGGGGTCGTCAACAGCTGCAAGAGGACGGCGGCCTACGCCGAAGCAGGCTTGCAGGTTCCCGCCATTCTGGGCATTCTTGGAGGAATCCTCGCTTTACTAAGTACGTACGCCTGGCAAGCGGTTCAGCCTTTGGCTTCTAAAATGGGGGAGCTTTATCCCTTACTGAACAGTTCAGAGAGAAGTTGGCCAAGACTGGAAGGCAGCCCTGTTCCATGAGATCAACAGGAACCCAGTCTTCTATTTAGTTTTTTCATGAGTGGGCATGGGTTTTTCACCCCAGGGCAGTGCTTCTCATGCTCAAGTACATACAAATCACCTGCATGCGGATTCTGAGCTGGTGATCTGGGGAGTCTGGGGTGGGGTCCTCAGATTCCACGTTTGTAACCAGCTCCCAGGTGGTGCAGATGTTGCAGGTCCTTGGACCAGCTTGGAGCAGCAAGGCCTTGGGGTCCTTTCATCATCAGCATGGTCCGAGCTGTCCCGCTTACCACCACCACTTCTGCTTCCACATTCTACAGTCCATCCTGGAGAAGGGATGACGGAGAAAGTGGAAAGCACGTATCTGGAGATGACACAAATCACCTTCATTCCCATCCCACTGGCCCAAACACAGCCACACCTAGAATTTCCCACTTGAACTGGATGGCCATGTGCCCATTTAAACCTTGGCAGAGGATGGGGGTGGAGTGTAGGGTGAACAGTGAGTATTCAGTGGCTAAAAGGACACTGGAGGGAGCTATGGCAGTTCTACCATAGTCCTTCAAACTGAGAGAGACCACCTAGAGACTGGCCCCTAGGGTTGACACAAATGCTGTGATGGTTTCTAAAAGCTTGTGATGGCAAGTTCATTAGAAAAATTCCAAAGGTGGTTTATAAATTAGGGGCTGGAAAGGGTGGTCCAGGTCATGAATGCCTTTGTGATCAGACGATGTGAGTTGTCCCTCAAGGATGTGAGTTGATGTGAGTTGACGCTCAAGGAAGGTGTAGGATGGTTGGGATAGAGGCTGGTGGCATCCAGATGGTCAGAGGGGCATTTGTGAGGGTTCCCACGCTAGTGAAGGCACAGAGAGGAAGACTCCATCAGACTGTGGAGGGCAAAGAGGAGGCCAGCGTGGCTGGAGTAGAAGAAAGTTCTTGGAGCAGTGGCATCACTCGTTTAGACTTGTTAAGGGTTTCAGTTTAGACCCAACACAGATGTTCTTAATCCTGCTGCTTTCTGCTCCAGCAGATTCATTCGCTCCCGCCCTCTGCTGATTGTGTCCCCTCAAAGCTGAGAAGGAAGGAGAGTGTGTTGTTCAGAATTCACTGAGCTTTCTGGACCTCTGTTCCTCAGGGTTTACCTGGCTTAATGGCCACTGTAGGGTGAGGTGAATTCACCTTCCTTCTGCCATCATCATGGCTGGGGTCATGCAAGCCCTGCCTGCCGCCTGCCTTCCTACTCCAGTTAGATTTGACGGGGCCAGTCAGCTTTGGGGACAACAGTTACTAACTAGTACTTTCATTCTAAGAAAAATATTAAAGATTGTCATTACACTTAAAACAATTGACTTTTGAGTAATAGCCTTACCTCAGTGTGTTTGGGATACATTTTATTAGGCACAGAGGACAAGAGCAGCACTACAGAATGTTCAAATGTGGAACCGTATTGAAAGCAGGAGCAATGCCAGCAATGCCATGACTTGCAACTTCTTCCTTGTGGGCAAGCGTAGAACTTACACTTCCAAGATGACACTAGAAAAATGCCAGGATATGAAGGTTTTCATGTAGACCCTCAATATTTGGTTGCTTGCTTTGTGCCAGGCTTTATGGGAATCCCACTGGGAATACTGAGGTTGTGGTACAGTGTGTGGGGCAGTATTTCCTGAAGTGATAACAGTATCTATTTTGGTTACTTTCCTTTAAGTGACATTTAAGTAATGTTTGATAAGTAGTATCTTCTTGGAAATGATAACCTGCTTTTAGTTGCTCAAAGCTCCATGTGGATGGTGACTATTTGCATCTTACATGGTCTTCACTACCGTATCCTCGGTGCTAAGACAGGTCTTGGCCCACTGAATCGTGGTCAAGGAAGTTAAATTGTTCATCTGAATAAGGTCTTGGAATCTTGATGATTTCAGAAACAATAGGGAGGTTGGGTACTTGTAAGAAATCTTTTCCCCAAGTCTATGCAACCTCTTTGTTTCAGTGCAATACTGCTTCAGTAGGGTGTCCTTTAGAGAAACTCGGGCACAAGCACCTATTTAAAAAAAATACAAAATCATATTTTTTTCAGTCACAGTAAATAGTTCAAAGATTTTTAACAATTGTTCATCTTCTCTAGCCTAGAAATATCCCAAGATCAGATGAAAACTTTGGAAATTAAACAGATTTTAGAGCTTGCTTATGTGATTTTTATCTTAAGAGAAAATAATATTACCAGGCTGTTGAATGGTCTGTGTCCCATTCCTTGGAACTGATTAAAAATAATACGCATCTGTCCATCACATTTAGGCTGACCCAGCCCTGCTCACAGACCTTCAGTGGTTCTAGTTCAGAATCAAAGCCAAAGTCCTTTAGTAGTTGCCACATCCCTGCCACCCTTCTGAACCCCTGTCTACTTCCTCCCTCGCTCACCCCGCTGACCTCGCCTCTCCTTAATCATGGCCATCATGCTCCTGCCTCAGGGCCTTTGTCCCTAATTTCCTCTGCCTGGAGCATTTTATTAGCTCAGATTCTGGGAAATGACTGATTGGTTTAAGTCCAGTGAAAGACCACACTTGAGTTCCCCTGTACTTGTCCAGGATGTTACATTGCACATACTAAGTTCGGGTGTGAGAGCGTCCGTGCGCGGGTTGTCTGGCAGCCATCTGTCTGGTAGGCAGGGCTGTGGTGCTCTGTGAGAGCTGCTTTTTATGGCTTTCTTGACCCATGGCTCCCCTCGTTCTCTGTCCCCCACCCCAGTCCTGATTCTGCTGCTTCTGCTGTTTGTTCGGAGGAGAGGGGTGGTCAAAGAGCCCTTGCTACCCCCAGAAGATGACACCCGGGACAACGTTTACTATTATGATGAAGAAGGAGGTGGAGAAGAGGATCAGGTACATTTTTAAAACCGTGATACATGGCGCACTTGGGTGGCTCAGTGGTTAAGCATCTGCCTTCGGCTCAGGTCATGATCCCAGGGTGCTGGGATCGAGCCCCGCATCGGGCTCCCTGCTCAGTGGAGAGCTTGCTTCTCCTCTCCCACTCCCCCTGCTTGTGTTCCTTCTCTGGCTGTGTCTCTGTCAAATAAATAAAATCTTGGGGCGCCTGGGTGGCTCAGTCGTTAAGCATCTGCCTTTGGCTCAGGTCATGATTCCAGGGTCCTGGGATCAAGCCCCGCTGCCCTGCTCAGGGGGCAGTCTGCTTCTCCCTTTCCCACTGCCTGCCGTTCCCTGTGCTTGTGCATGCGCTCTCTCTCTCTCTCTCTCTCTCTCTCAAATAAATGGATAAAGTCTTTAAAAAACAACAACAAAAAACCCGTGATACAAAGCTAAATGGCGATCTCTTTATTTGGAAGAAGCAATGATTAGGAGAAGGTAGACCTTTGAAATAACATTGTTCTTTTCAGCACCCAGATGAATGAACAGAGGCCAAGGGCAGCTAAGTAACTTGCCCAGTCACACAGGTAGTAAGCAGGAGAACCCCAGGTAGTGTGACTCCAGAGCCTAGTCTCCCTGTCACTGTTCTCAGGATACAAACTTCAAATTATCCTCGACATAAGGCAGCTACTTTGTAATATTTTGTTTCACTTGAGCTTGTAGGTATGCTAAACTTTTTTTTTCTTACTGTACATGTTAGGGCTTCTTTAGGCCTTCTTTATGTTCCCTGATTTTAAAGATGGTCTTGCCTTAGCCTAGAGTTTTCTGGAGATTTTTTTAAAAGTAATCTCTTTGCCCAATGTGGGGCTCAAACTCATGACCCCGAGATCAGGAGTTGGATAGTCTACTGACTGGGCCAGTCAGCAACCTTTTGGAGAATTTTTTGTGAATGTGTATTCTATTTAGAAAGGAAACCTCGGGGGGCGCCTGGGTGGCTCAGTCCTTAAGCGTCTGTCTTCGGCTCAAGTTATGATCCCAGGGTCCTAGGATCGAGCCCCGCATCGGGCTCCCTGCTCTGCGGGAAGCCTGCTTCTCCCTCTCCCACTCCCCCTGCTCATGTTCCTTCTCTCGCTGTGTCTCTCTCTGTCAAATAAATAAATAAAATCTTAAAAAAAAAAAAAAAAAGGAACCTCGGGCCCCATCTCAGAGTTCTGCTTTGACTCTGGCCATGCATGAGCATGCTTGCTGAGCTCTCTGGTTTGGAAGAACAGCCATTGATTAGAATTTCAATGCCTGCTTTGTACAGCGTATTAGGGGGTACAGAGAACTGTCCTTCAGGCATTTGTGGGATAACTGCTGACCTCAGCTAGTGTCTTAGTCCGTGTGGGTTGCTATAACAAGATGTCACAGACAGGTTGCTTAAAAACCACAGAAGTTTTTCTCATGGTTCTGGAGGCTGGGATGTCTTAAGATCGAGGCACCAACAGATTTGGTGTTTGGTGGGGACCTGCTTCCTGGTTCACAATCAGCCATAATCTCAAGTGCACTCAACACGGCAGAAGGGGAGTTCTAGCGTATCTTTTATCAGTGTGCTAATCCTGTTCCCAAGGGCTCCATCCACCCTCCCGACTCGATCACCTCCCAAAAGTCGCACCTCCAAATACCACCATGTGGGGGATTAGGTTTCAATGTGTGAATTTGGCAAGGGACACAGACATTCAGTCTATGGCAGCTAGACTCTCAAGAACCTGTAGATCAGCTGGGCCTTAGTCACTTAGGTACAGCAGTCCACATCCAAGCCCACAGTTGTTCCTCACAATCCTTTTATGCTGTTCTTCCTTCTAGTGCTATTTTGGAAACTCTTAGGTTACAAACTGTCATTTCAGATTACATTGGCACATGCTTATAACTACCATGCAGTTGAAAGGGCATAATCTGATACCGGAATCTATAACCCAAATATAGCCCTGGATTTGTGACTGTGTTTTGTCTGTTTGTTTCTTTTTCTTTCTTTTTTTTTTTTTTGTTGTTTTTGGTTTGTTTTTTACTCTTTGCTCTGCTTTTACTTTTATCTCCAAAGGACTTTGACTTGAGCCAGTTGCACAGGGGCCTGGATGCTCGGCCCGAAGTGACTCGCAATGATGTGGCGCCAACCCTCCTGAGTGTGCCCCAGTACCGGCCCCGCCCTGCCAATCCTGATGAAATTGGAAATTTTATTGATGAAGTAAGTTAGCAAATCAAAAGCCAAGGTGCAGCTCATCTCTACACTCAGGAGCAGTTGGGTTGAAAGTGAGGAAAAAGTTTTTAGATTCTTTGCTTTACCACATTTTCTCCTTGCCTGATCCCTGAATGCTATTTTTTATTTGTGTCTCATCTGAATTTCAGAACTAAAAGCACTTCAGACTGTTCCTAATGAATTTGCAGTATCCATATGGCAAAACCAAGAATTGCTTGTGAGGATTTAGTAGAACTAGAAATGAAACTAAAGAGATTCAGTGGAGATCCAATTTGGTTTCACTAATGGCTCTCTTTGCCCCTGCATCCCACTGCTGGTTGGGATGTGATATTAAATGTGTATCACAGGTCTACCTAAGGGCCAGAAAAATAGCATCAATTTGTGTAAGTTGGAAATACATTCAGCTATGAATTCCAGAAGTTTAAACAGATATGAGGAGATTAACCTCATAAATCCTTGTTCTCATGTTGTTGCCACATGATCACAAGATGGCTGCCACACTTCTAGGCCTTGGGTCTGTATTCCAGTCAAGAAGAAGTAGGAAGGGCAGAGCAGAGGCCATAAGTCTTTGTTCTAGCAAACTGTCAATACAAGTAGGGAGTTCATCCTATGTTATTGGCCAGAACTGTCCTTATCTGCAAGGGAGAATGAGAAATAAGGCATTAAGTTAATTAGCTTAGGGTGAGATGAGGACAAATTGGGGGTCGGGATGAGCAAAGAACCAGTAAGTAAGATAACAGTCCGGCAGGATCTATTTCCTTAAACTATGTTACCTGATCCCTTGCTCAGTTACTGGAATGATTTTCAGAGCTTCTCTGATGGTCCAGTGGCCCTCCGCGGGTCTTCATGGTAGAGGCTGGTTTTGCTTTCGCTCCCATGGGAGTCCTCACCAGGACCTACACAAAGCACAGAAGTGTTTGAAGTGACCAGGCTGGATACTCTAGGAAGCTGGGAATGGGAAGGGCCAGTTAAAGCCTCCCTTTTAGATAATCTGAATTCAGGTCCTTTGCTCCAGTCACATGCATTTGTCTGTCATCACAGCTGATAGTAGCTTTTTTCTTTTTTTCTTCTTCTTTTTTTAATTACAAAATAGTGTTTGCTACTTATAGTAATAAACTTTGAAAATGTATATAAAGAAAAAAAAAATGCAAGTCCTTTCTTCATGCCCCAACTTAACTCGCTAGAGTTAACTGTTAACAGTTTGGCAGTCATCCTTCCAGACCTTTCCAGGTGGAAATGTTGTATGGACCAGTACGACTGTCCTCATTGTTTTCAGCCTCTGTCCATCCTGACTGGCTTCTCTCCCTTCTATATAAAATGTGTCATTAGTTTAGGGGGAAACATTCTGCATCTTTACCCGTGGTGTTGTCTTTTCATCAACAGTATATTGTCTATATCCATTTACCTTATTGGTGCTGACTGCTCCTGGTGTTCTGTAGGATGGTTGCGTTATCGTGCATTACATGTTGCTGGAGGCACCTAGAGATTCCTTTCATTGAAAGATCCTCCTGTCTTCCTCCTCCTTTAGAACCTGAAGGCAGCGGACACTGACCCCACCGCTCCTCCTTACGACTCTCTGCTCGTGTTTGACTATGAAGGAAGCGGTTCTGAAGCTGCTAGTCTGAGCTCCTTGAACTCCTCAGAGTCAGACCAAGACCAGGACTATGACTACCTGAACGAATGGGGCAGTCGCTTCAAGAAGCTGGCGGACATGTACGGGGGTGGGGAGGACGACTAGGGGTCTTGAGACAAATGAGGAAGGAGATGGGTCCTTACGCCATGTGGGGGAGAGTGCAGGGGTCATGGTTTTCCAGCTCCCTTCACTTGAGATGAGTTTCTGGGGAAGAGAGACTGCTCAGTGATGCAGTTAGGATAGTTAGTATTACCACTTGATAGATCTAATCTGTGTTTTGACCTGTTCTTTGAAGCTTTTTTTCTTTCATCATTCTTTAAATGGTGATGCTGTCCAAAAGCCACCCACACGTTTAATATTTCAAAAGAATAGCTTCAGCCTCCAGAAGGTTCTGCTAGCAACTTGGAGGTTAGGTTCTGCTAGCAATTTACAGATTTCCTTACACGCTTTTGTCTCATTTTTTTTAAAGAAAGGGGGGGACTCAACTACCCTATTGTGTGTGTGTCTGTGTAATTATTTTTAATTTGTGTTCTTTTTTTCTCCTATCACTGCTCTGGTGTCCCCTGTTCTAATACCCACTCTTACTCCTTTTGAACTTCTATTGCCCCAGACAGGAGTTCTCTGATGGAGAAATTGTTGGGCCATTTCAGGATAGGAGACTTGGTCTTAGCCTGGCCAGAGTGTGACTGGGTATTGTGGACTCGTAAGACCTTTAATGGTTCTCCTTTTTTATTTCCTAAGTACATAACTTGAAATTGGTGTCCATCCATTTACTTGTTCTGCGTAAATATATTTGTTATGTGTATGTCATTATTGAGGTACTTTGGTTCTAAATGGGGAGCGCTGAGCAGAAAAGGTGGTGAGTTTTCAGGTGCCACTCAACTTCTAATGTTCATTTATCACTCAAGAGTGATCTCTTTCAACACTTAATGATGGTGCCTAAGTGCTGCAGCCAAAGACGGAAGGAGGTTTGTCACAGCTGAGGGCAACATGAGAAATGTGCTTGGAGGTGGCAGGAGAGATGTGTCATTGAGCCTGGCAGTTTAGCAAACTGAGGCTGAGGATGATTGAGGTGGCTCTTACCTCTAGTCCTGAAAATTCTGAAGAGTGGAAGAATCTCAACATGTGTGTCCTATCAGGATCCTCAGACCAGAGTTTGTACCTGAAGCCCAGAATCCCCAGGTGCCTGCTTTTGTTGATGTCTACAGAAAATGCTGGCTGATCTGGACACATTTACCCCAAATTCCAAGAGTTCGTAGAAAACCGAGGATATTAGGAAATCCAATTTTTTCCCCTTAGGAGCAGGAAGAAAATATGGCACTAAAGGGTGCTAGCAAGGGGAGGGTGGAGAGAACTTTGATTTGGATCTTCTTTTAATTGAAATGCGAACTTCAAGAAACTTTTGACAACCACAGAAAATAATTTTATCTAAATTGCTTTACTGTCAGCTGTTTTTCAAAGGAAAAAAAATCATTCCTGCAATCACTTCTTGGAATTCTTTTGATTTTTTAGCAATTTAAACTCTAATGTAGTCTTGTGTAGAGAATGTTACTATAATTTTGAGTGTATACATGTGTGGGTGCGGATAATTTTGTATTTTCTTTGGGGGTGGAAAAGGAAAACAATTTAAGCTGAGAGAATTCTTAAATATTCATTTTTATAAATTTTATTAAAGAATTTTGTTAAACCAGTGTCGAACACTTGTTTTATTTGGTCACACCACAATTCCAGGCAAGACCAGTGGTAGTTGAGCTCACTCAAAACGTGAAGAAGGAAGCTTCGTGTTGAAATGACTCCTCCAGAACTTGGTGTAATTCTATTGCAGGCAGAGTGCAGGAAACTGCATTTAAAAGGTCACTTTATTTGAAGCCTATCAATCCATTTGGTATGTGGAGAAACATTTAAAATTCTCTTGTCAATGGAAAAACTGTGGGCAGAGCCAAGGGACCAAAATAGAGCTTAAGACAACATTCAGTCGGTCAGCAAAGTTTATGTAGTACAGTGGTCCACCATCAGGGAAGACTCTGGACCCCTCCCCCAGGGGACATTGGGCAATTTCTGGAGATGCATTGGTTGTCATGACTGAGGAGGTGCTACTGGCCTCAAGTCAAGGCTAAATGTCCTGCAGTGCATGGGGCAGCCATGTGCAACAAAGAACCATCGGGCCCAAAATGTCAATGGTGCTGCTGAGAAACCCTGTTCTGTGACTTCACTCTGCTGGAGGGGTATAATTGTATATGTATATATATATATGTGTGTGTGTGTGTGTGTATATTTTTTTCTATAATGGTGGTGAAATATACAGATCTTCTTCGACTTTGATGTGGTTACAGGCCAGTAAATTATCATAAGTTGAGAATACGTCAAAAATGCATTTAATATGCCTAATCCACCAGACATGATAGCTTAGCCTAACCCACTTTCAGTGTGCTCAGAACACTTACTTTAGCCTAGAGTGAATAAAATCATCTCACACAAACCATTTTATAATAAAGTGTTGAATAGCTTGTGTTACTTATTGAATATGGCAGTGAGAAACCGAATGGTTGTGTGTTGGTTGTTTACCTTGCTGATCACAGGACTGGCAAGCTGTGCCTGCCACTGCCCAAGCATCACGAGAGTCAACATCCATATTTCACTAGCCCAGGAAAAGATCAGAATATGAAGTATAGTTTCAACTGAATGTGTTACTTTCAAGGGTACAGTTCAGTGATATTAAGTATATCCAAAATGTATAACCATCACCTCTGTTTGCAGAACCTCTGCATCATTCCAAGCAAATTCTATAACCATGGGCAATAAGTAACTCCCTGTTCCCTCCCCTCCCAGCCCTGGTGACTTCCATTCTGCTTGCTGTGGTCATGAATTTGACTCTGTTAGGTATTTCATGTAAGTGGTGTCATGTAATACATGTCTTTTTAAACTTGGCTTGTTTCACCTGGACTCATGGTTCCCAGGGTATTGCAGCACGTGTCAGGACTGCATACTTCATTGGGTATATATGCACCACGTGTTACTCATCTGTTCATCTTGAGTTGTTTCTATCTTGTGGCTATTGTGAATGATGCTGCAGTGAACACTGGCATACAAAAATTTTGGGAAATTCTGGCTATCTACCCAGGAGTAGAATTGCTAGGTTATATTGGTAGTTCTATGTATAGTTTGAGAAGCTGCCAAGGTATAGACCTAGATTTGGTCCAGGAGTGAAAATTTAAAATCTATAGAAGACTTTTTTTAAAGAAAAATTGAGCAATTTTTTAAAAGATTTTTATTAGAAAGCACGAGCAGGGGAAGGTGCAGAGGGAGAAGGAGAAGCAGACTCCCTGCTGAGCAGGGAGCCTGAGGTGACATGGGGCTCTCCAACCCAGGACTCCGGGATCATGACCTGAGCCAAAGGCAGATGCTTAACCGACTGAGCCATCTGGTGACCTGGAAACTGGGCAAATTTTAATACGGATCTTAGAGTAGATGATATTCCTGAATAAATACTAGTTTTCTTGGGGACATAGTTCACTAGGAGAACCTTATTAGGACATAACTGATGAATTCAGAGATAAAGTTGTGATGTCTGCAAATCAATGGTTTAACAAAAAAGTACGTCAAGAGTGGTAGCACACAGGCAAATGTGACGAAATGTTCATAATGACTAAATCAGGTGAAGGGTATGCAAGTGTTCATGTACTAGCCTTTCAATTTTTTTTTCAGGTTTAAAGTATTCCAAAATAAAAAGTTATAAAGAGAAATAGGGAAGCCAGAAGTAAACCCTTAGATAGTCGAATGATACTCTACAAGGGTGCTAAGACCATTCAGTGAGAAAAGGCAAGGTTTTTTTTGACAGTACAAGGATGACGACCACACACACACACACACACACACACACACACGAGTGTAGCTGACACAATGTTACATTAGTTGTAGGTGCACAACTTAGTGATTTGGCAAGTTTATGCATTATGCTACGTTCACAAGTGTAGCTGCCATCCTGTTCTATCGCTAATTGATGTCACTATTTTCCTCACACTCTGCCAAAAGGACCGTGTTTTCAACAAACGGTGCTGGGAACACTGGGTGTCTATGTGCAAAAGAATGAAATTAGACGTACTGTTACATCATATACAAGAAATAAAATGGATCAAAGACTCGTAAGGGCTAAAACTATAAAACCCTCAGAAGAAAATAGACATCATGACGCTGGGTTTGGCATTACTTTGTGCATATCTTACCACAATAAGGTCAGGAAAAAATAAAATACCATGAGGACAAATAAAATGGTTCTATAGAAATTAAAATTAAACCGTTTACAAAGTACCTACCACGTGCAGAGGGCTACACCAGTCAGTAAATGAGATGGAGAAAGACAACAGAGAAAGTGTTTGCACGTTTCCCTCTTGCTGGTTCCGAGGGTACGGACAAGGACTGACGAGGTCTGACACGGGAGCCATGCTGCCTGAGTTCAAATCCTGATTTCTGTCCTTTCCACCTGTGGGCTTAGGCAAGTTACTTTATCTTTCTCTACCTCAGTTTCCTTATGTCCAAAGGGAGGATTGGACCTACTTCATAGGATGGTTGTGAACACTGAGTTGATATGTATAAAGCATTTAGAAGAGTGCTTGGCACATGGCAGTGCTTGTTAAATGTGAGCTCTTGTTTTCATTATAGGATAAGGGGTGCAGCAAGGGAGTTTTGGGTCGATGGAATCATTTAAGCAAATGCAGGGTATTAGGAGAGAAAAGGCCAAGTGTTCTGTTTTGGACTGGATTTAGTGGGTCTGATAGAACCACCAAAGTGTTGTGAGCAGGACAACTATGTGATCCAAAGTGGTGTTCTGTGAAGGTGTGTCAGTTTGCAGGGATGATGAGTTGGCCTGGGGAGGGTACCCGGGACAGTAAAGAGCCTCTGGCAGTTGAAATAAGAATGAAGGGATCCAGAATATACCACTGTGTAGGGGTTTTCTTCCTAGACTCCCTTTATCTGCCTAAAAGCAGAGCCCCCGCCCCCCGTCAAATTCAGCAGTCGTAAATCCCCTCCCATGGAGTTTCATAAGCAGGGAGGATTGACTCCTACTACCAGAGATTAGAAATTGGCACCCCAGGATAAGAAATCACCTCAACAGAAGCGCCTGGGTGGCTCCATGGGTTGAGTGTCTGCCTTGATTTTGGCTCAGGTCATGATTTTGGGGGTCATGAGATTGAGCCCTGTGTTGGGCTCCCTGCTCAGTGTGGAGTGGGCTTGAGATGCTCTCTCTCCCTCTCCCTCTGCCTCCGCACCCCCCCCCCCGCTCATTTATGGGCATTCTCTCTCTTTAAAAAAAAAAAAAAAATCACCTGAACAGATACTGTCAAAAAATCCTATCTCCCATCTCATTTATCTTTTCTTAAAATCATTTGTTTTCTGATAAGTGCCCTTTCTCTGTTAAGCTGGAGTATAAGCCCCAAATTCTAACCACCTCTTTGAGTCACATTTTTCTGTGAAGGCCCTTGGATGTGAAGAAAAATCTGCCTTTTCTCTCACTAATCTGTCTTTTGTCAGTTTAATTCACAGGCCTCCCTACTCAGAACCTAAGAGGATGGAGAAAAGTTCTTCCTCTCCAATAGATATCTAATTAATGCTAAAGAGAGTGGTAATCCAAAGAGAAAATCTTTCCTTTAAAATAAATAAAAATTGGGTAGCCTGGCTGGCTCAGTCTGTAGAGTATGTGAATCTTGATCTCAGAGTTGTAAGTTCAAGCTCCCATGTTGGGTATAGAGATTACTTAAAATGTTATTTAGGGTGCCTGGGTGGTTCAGTTGGTTAAGGGACTGCCTTCGGCTCAGGTCATGATCCTGGAGTCCAGGATGGAATCCCACATCGAGCTCCCTGCTCAGCAGGGAGTCTGCTTCTCTCTCTGACCCTCCCCCCTCTCATGCTCCTTTCATTCTCTTTCTCTCAAATAAATAAATAAAATCTTAAAAAAATCTTAAATTTAAAAAATGCTCTAAAAATAAATAAAATAAATGAAAAATCAACGAGCTTCAGGGACCCCTTTGTGGAGTGGTGAGAATCATCACAGTGACTAAGGTTTTGACAAAAGTAGGGTAAGAGTTTAAGGGGTCAGTTTTGGGAAAAGGGGTGCAGCCACTCCGGTTCTTCTCTGGCTTCTTCTAGAAGATAAGTACCCATAAGAACCTTTAATTTGCTGGGGTCTTTACTGGGAATTATGTTTCTGTAAAACAGCTAAAAAAAACTGATAACCATTGGGTGCCATTAGCCTTGTTAGTTCTCTGGGTTGAGGCAAGCAGTCCCCAGCCAGCTTGGATAAGACGTTCGACTGCTGTCCCTCAAGTCCCAGATAATGGGCTCCTTGTTGGTCGAGTTCAAATCAATGGAATCTGCCTTCCGTGAATACAGACCTCTGTGTTTGTCTTGAACAGCCCCTTATGGTTCATTTCAGGGAAGCAGCATCCTCCCTCATGTAGCTCTCATGCATATTGGTTCTGATGGATATTTAACAGCATATTTGCTAGGGAGCCTCCCAGCTGTACTTAAGTGTTTTAACAAAGTTGCCCAGAGCAAACCAAGGAAGGGGCTGCCAGAATCCAGTTCTAAAAACTAAAATCCTTTAAGTGTAAATGCCGGATTCTAAGGAAGTAGGGTAATTAAAAGCCAATTTTAATGATTTTTTAGGGCGGGAGAAGCTTGAGAATGCTTCCTTTTTT